AATCACAGTTTTTTAATTAATTAATTTTAATTAATCACAATTTTTTAATTTTGTTTAAAAGTAAAGAACAAAAATCTGCATAATTTCAATTTGACAAAACATAATATTTTACAAAATTTTAGTCCTTTAATGAAAAAATTGAATTATAAAATAAAAATAATTATAACATAATAATATAATAATAATAATAATAATAATAATAATAATATTATAGTTAATTCATTATTTATTTAGTTTTTGAATTGTTCATACGATTTTGTTTTCAAAATTAAAAATCGACTCTTCTCAGTCCTTTTCTTGTTGCAGTGTAAAATTAAATTAATTAAATTAATAAAAATGGTAAAATTAATTTAAATTTTAAATAATTTTTAGCAAAAGACTATTATTTAAATAAATAAATAAATAAATAAATGGGGCGGTATCAATTGCCCTCAATTCAACTGTATACAGGAAAACTGCCCACAATAAACTGCATACTGGAAAACTGCATACAAGCAAATTTTAATAATAAAATTATTAAATTTAATTTGAAAACTGTATAAATCTAAACTGCATACCGTTAAACTGCACATAGGTAAACTGCACACAAGTCTAATTTTCTATTAAATTTATAAATAATTAATATTAAAAACCTGTATACAGTTAAAGTGTACATTGGTAAACTGCATACAAACTAAATTTAAAAAATTAAATTAAAAATTTATTTATTGTTTAATTGCACACCGTTAAACTGAACATTGCTCAACTGCATACAAAATAAATAAATAAATTAAAAAAATTTAATGTATCGTCAAATTGCACATTGGTAAACTGCATACATATCAACTGTATACAGCTAAGTTCTCTTCTATGAAGTTGACAGTTGCGAATATATTCATAGAAGAGAACTTAGCTGTATACAGTTGATATGTATGCAGTTTACCGATGTGCAATTTGACGATACATTAAATTTTTTTAATTTATTTATTTATTTTGTATGCAGTTGAGCAATGTTCAGTTTAACGGTGTGCAATTAAACAATAAATAAATTTTTAATTTAATTTTTTAAATTTAGTTTGTATGCAGTTTACCAATGTACACTTTAACTGTATACAGGTTTTTAATATTAATTATTTATAAATTTAATAGAAAATTAGACTTGTGTGCAGTTTACCTATGTGCAGTTTAACGGTATGCAGTTTAGATTTATACAGTTTTCAAATTAAATTTAATAATTTTATTATTAAAATTTGCTTGTATGCAGTTTTCCAGTATGCAGTTTATTGTGGGCAGTTTTCCTGTATACAGTTGAATTGAGGGCAATTGATACCGCCCCAAATAAATAAATAGTTATTGCAATGGAATACAATAATTTTATGTTATCGAAAAAAGCGAAATTAGCACTGGTCCAATAATAATAAAAAATAAAATAAGAATGAAGTATTAGAACAATTCTTTGAAAATGCACTCTCTTTCTATTTTATACATTTCCGGATGCTATTTTTAGTTATGCCTCGTTGAATATGTGCTAAGTAAGGTATAGCGGTCGCAATATGGACATGATTATTTATCGCATCTTTTTTATGCTTATTTTGCGCATTGAGAAAAATATAGTTAAGAAACAGTTATCAGCATAATAAGTAAATAATATAAACATAAATATTTACATACACTCACAAATAATTTTTTATACATAAAAATAGGATAAATGTGTGTATATATATATAAAAAAGGATAAATATATATTATAAATTCTTGTGGACACGTGTTATAGTCCAATATTATTCGTACAGCTACGAAAAAAAAAATTTAGAAAAAAAGTGCATAGCAAAAAAGAAAAAAAAAAGATTCAAGTTCTTTAGGTGCACTGGTTATTTCTCTCTATTGTATTGTATATATGTATATATATATTTAACGTCCACACACATGTTTGCATATATTATCTTCTAGTTGTATAAATTTACAGGAGAATATATTTCTTCCGTTAACTATATATGAACTTAACTTAACTTTTTCTTTCTCCTTTTTTTCCAATCCTCACGTTCTATATAATGAATCACTAATTTTATTCCTCGCTTTGTTTCATTTGTGATATATGGGGGAGGAAGCTTTAAAATAAACAGATCTGATCGTATATTAAATTAGGAATAGGTACTTGTTACTTCAAATCTATGCAAATTTAATTGAATTCAAATTTAAATTATTCCAATTTTAATTAGATCGCTGCTTTTAAATTCGTTTAAAAAGATTAAAAAATAATATAACTTAAATATTATCATTATTTATACATTGGAGATGCAAATTTTTTTTCTTTTTGAGTTTTATATTTATAGGTCAATGTTTGTTTTTGTTTTTCTATTTTGACATTTTTTTTTTATTAGAATTAAATATAATAATTAATTGAAATCAAGCAAATTAACTTGAAATTAAAGAAATTAAATAAAAATTGAAAAATACTTGAAATTACAGGAAGTAATTAAAAAATTTTTTAAATAATAAAACTAATTGAAATTAGAGAAAAAAATTAAAAGTTAATTGCAATCAAAGAAAGTAATTAGAAATTTAATAAAATTTAAAATTGTAATTTAAAAAGTAATTGAACTTAAACGAAGTAATTAAAAAATTATTTTAAAAATTAATTAAAATTACAGGAACTAATAAAAAAATAAAAAATCTTTTCTAAAACTCGTTTTAGACGATTCACAAACATCACAAAAATTTGATTCTGACTTCTTTTTAATTTTCATAAAAAAATTAAGATTTTAGAAGTATTTTCCAAAATTATTTTACCTATTTTGAAAAAACTTTTAATTACAATTTTTCAAAAGACTAATTTTTTCATAATTACCAAATTAAATTGCATTCAAAACTTAAATAAAAATTTTCATTAAATAACTATTTAAATACTTATTTATTTTTTTACAGGAATTAAAATATTTTTAATGAAATTTAACTATTTCTAAAAATTACAACTGTAATCATTTCTAAATTCAATTATTTCTATATATTGACATTTTTAAATAAAAGTCTTCAAAACTAATCAGTTTTTGAAAAAATAATAAATTAATAAATTTTCAAAATAAAAATTAAAATATTATTGCAGTTTTACAACAAATAAAATTTTCAAATATTTCAATTTAAAAACCCTTTTAAAATTTAATTATTTCTAAAAATTCATAATTCTGAGAAAGAATTTTATAAAAATTGTATGAAAATTGAAAATAATTGAATTATTTAAAGGGATTCTTTTAAAATTGTATTCAAAATAATTGAAATCCTGCGTTTTTTATTATTTATGAAAATAATTGAATTCTTGGACCAAATTTTATTGAAATTTTTGAAAATAGTTCAATTCCTGATAAGTATTTTATAAAAATGTTTGAAAATAATTAAATTCCAAAGAAGAATTTACTATTTAAATTCTGATGTGTTTTTTCACAGGAAAAATTTTATTATTAAAATTTTTGAAAATAATTGAATTCTAAAGAAGAATTTTATTAAAATTTCTTTAAATAATTGAATTTCCGTAAAAATTTTATTATTTGTAAAAATAATTTAATTTCATCAAATAATTTAATTAGTTATGAAAATAATTGAATTTTTGCAAAGAATTTTCTTAAAATTTAAAAATAATTGAATTTTATAAATTATATGAAAATTGTAAATAATTGAATTCTTTCAAAGAATTTTATGAATGTTTTGAAAAAAATTGAATTATTTAGTGATTTAGTGATAGTGTTTAAAATGGTATTAAAAATAATTGAATGTTTCTGATGAATTTTATCCAAATTTTGTTTATCTAAAGAATTGAATTCTTTTGAGAAATTTTATTAAGATGGTAAATATTGAAAATAATTGAATTTCGGAAAATTTTTGAAAATAATTTAATCGTTTCAAAGAATTTTATTAAAATCTTTTAGAATAATTTTTGTGTTTCATCTATTAGCAAATTTTTTTTTTCTATTTGCAAAAAATAATTTTAAATTAATCATTTTAAATAAAAAATCTATAATAATTTTAAAGCAATTCAAATTGTCAAAAAAAAAAAAAGAAAAACGTATCATTTATTGTCACAAATCTAAAGAAAGTAGTAAATAGTAGGTTTTAGTAGATGAGTGCGATTAATAAATAAAAATTTGCAAGCACAAAACTAATGTATCGAAAATTGAAATTATTTTTTATTTGAGAAACGATTATTGAAATTTTTTTTACGGTGGAAGATAAGAAATGAAAAAAAAAAATGTTTCGCACCCTAGTGCCAAACGCAGATGCTTCTTTCTGCAACTGAGATTCTCGTTAGATTCAGCAGGGACTTAATGAGATAATCGATGAGTCGTTATCTTTCTCTCTTGAATATTCGTGTCACGTACGCGCAAGTTAGTTACATATGCAACGTACGACATTCACATGCCAGCTTCGAGACATAACACCTTGTCATCGAATGAGAAGATGCGATTCATTAATTAAATGAAAGACGAGAGTTATTCATAGAATTGTTAGCGTTAACATTCTTCTCGCGAATAAACATTTGATAACTCACTTTCACTACAGATAAACATAAACATATGTATATAGAAATATATTTTATTTATAGAATTCACTATTTTTCCCATTTCAAATCTTTGTCACTTATTTTTGTTTAAATATTTTTTTTTACAATTTTTTTTCAAAATTAACAATTGTTGCTAAAAAATAGGATTTATTAACGCACATGCTTAAACTGATAGAAATAAAAAGAAAGAAAAAAAATAAAAAAAAAAAATAATTGAAAATTGTTTAAACAAATTGTAATGAACAATTTAAAACAAATTATTTTTTAAACCATTTTTAACGTTAAAATTTATTATTTGTCCCGAATTTCTTTTAGAAATATTGACTTTCCTGATATATTTCTAGTTGTCTAAGCAAAAATTAATTAATTTTTAGTTTTTTAATTTCGATTTTTTAATTTTTAGTCAATTATTGTGAATTATGTAATTAAATGGCGACTGTAATAAAGGAAAATAAAATTCTCAACTCACCGAAATAACGTGCTCCCCTTTTCCATTCTTGGCAATGATATCCCAGTCGATAGTGTTTGTGTAACAAAGTGCTGGATTCTTCTCGAAACGAACGGAACCTCTTAAAATATCGGTTAAAGAATGTAGACCAATTTCCTGGAGGTGCATCATTTCAAAAGTGACCAATGCATAATTGATAAACAATGAATTACCGCGTATCACTGTCAAATTTGGAAAAAGTCGACCCACACTTCGTAGACCATTCACTCTGTAATAAACAAAAACAAATATTAAACAAATTAAATTTTCATTTCAAAAATAACAAATTTTTTATTTTTTAATGAAAAATTTAATAATTAATTGAATTAACAAAATAAATATAATAAAATAAATAAAAGAAATAAAAGAAACAAAATTATATTATCAATTGTAAATAATTTTTAAAATCAATTTTCGTTATTAATTAATGTAAAAATTATTAATTAAATTATTGTAATTTATTTAATTTATTAAAATCTATTATTTTTTTTATTTTCTTTATATTAAAAATTTTTTTGAAAAATAATTTTTTTTTGGAATATTTATTAAATTTATTTATAGTACCGAAGAAAGAAAAAAATTTTATTTTTCAATTATTATGGAGATCAATGGATCTCCATAATAATTGAAAAATAAAATTTTTCTTCTTTCTTCGGTACTATAAATTTTTCTCTCCTTTCTCATTAAATAGAATAATAATAAAAATTTGAGTTGATTGCGATAATAAATCAATTTAAATGGCACACTCTATTTGAAGTAAAGTCCCATTAAAAGAATTATATGACTATTCAAAATACTATTCACATTTCATGAATCGTACTTCCGTGCGAGAATTTTGCCAAACCGGATGTGCAGGCGATTCGTCTGCCAGATTCTAAATTCAACACATGATCCTCTTCAATTCGCAATAAACTCGTTTATTGACATTTCAAGAGTGGCAAATCAAAGATCGTCATTTTAATAAAAATTCACTTCAAGAAATATATAATGTATAATGGAAGTAAATAAATAAAAAATAATAAATATATAGGTAATAATAAAATTAATTAATGAATTAATTTTATTAAAATACTACCTAATAATATAATTTTGTTTGTCGAACAGTTTTTTATATTTAGGTAAAACAGTAATAATAATAATTATAAAACAAAAAAATAATATTATTAATAGGAATAATAATTAATTAATAAAAATAATAAAAATAATACAAGAAATAAATGAGTAATAGTCAGAGTAATAATAACTTGTGAGATGGCTAAGTGGCTTAGCCACTAGATTTGTGGCAGAAAGGTTCGAGGTTCGAGTCTTCATGACTGTAGATATTTTTCAAAATTGTAATATATTTCTAATTGTTACTAACTATTATAATATTTATAATTAATAATAATAATAATAATAGAAATAATAATAATAATAATAATAATAATAATAATAATAATAGAAATAAATTAATAAATAATAATAAAATCAATTTATAAATAATAGTAAAATGAATAAAAATTAATTACTAATTATAATAAAATATGGATGAATAATAAAGTAAATAAATATTAAGTTGGTAAATTAAAATAAAAAATACGAGTCAACAACAAAATACATCTTTTAATAAATTTAAATAAAATAAAAAAATAATAATTGAAATTTACCTGTAAAGCACGAGGTATTCCGTAATTTCAACCAGCTCTGGAAACGTAAGATTCAAAAAGGCAGAGTCGTTCGCATGATCGATCAGTAAAATTTGAACGAATCCTTCGACCACTCGACAGCCTTGGAGTCTGCTGAATTCACTAACTGAATTGCGTATGTCTATGCTTTGGCACACTGTAAACAAAAACAGAATAAAAAATTAAATAAAAATTCTCACAACTAATATAACAAAAAAAAATAATAATAAGAATTAAAAATTTTCGAAATGAAAAAATATTGTTTCCCTTATAAACAAAATGGAAGTTAAAATATTCTACTTTAAAAAATATTTGACCTTCATTATAAAGAAATTGACCTTAAAAATTTTTTGAAACATAAAAATTAATTTTGAAACAGAAAAAAGAATCGAAAAAAAAATAAAACTACAAATTTTCGAAACTGGAAAAATAATTGTTATCACAAAAAAATTGGAATTGGAAATTTTCGAAATAAAAAAATATTCGTTTTCATTATGTAAAAAATTAAATTAAATATTAAACATTTCCTAAATAAAAAAATTATTTGTTTCGTTTACAAAAAAAAAAAAAATAGAAAAATTTTCCTAATAAAATAATTCATTTGTTTCAAAATAAAAAATTAGGCTTCGTTCTCGATAGTAATTAATTTTAAAAAAGTATCTTAAAGACAGAAAAAAGTATCTATCGAAAAATTAAACTTGACGACTCAATTTTTTTTATAATTTCTTAATTACATTCAAAATTAGAATAATTTTTTAAAAATAAATATTTAAATACCTATTTATTTTGTCTACACGAATTAAAATGTTTCAAAATGATTTCAATGTAACGCATTTTTGAAATTGAACAATTTCTAAAAAATTACAAAAGTAATTCTTTCAAAATTCAATCATTTTTTTTTGTTGAAATAAATACAATTTTGCAAAACTCTAATCATTCTGCTTTATTCAATTCTAAATCAATTATTCTTAGAAATTTCTACAAAATTCAATTATTTAAATACAAAAATAAATAATTTATTCAATAATTAAATTTTTCTTAAATTTGAATTCTTATAAAGAACTTTATCAACATTTTTTAGAATACATAATTGGATTTTTAGGAAGAATTGCATTAAAATTTTTGATAATAATTAAATTTATTCAAGAAATGTAATTAAAAATTAATTGAAAATAATTATTACACTCTAAGAAACAAAGTATATTAAATTTTTTTAAATAATTAAATTTTTTTGAAGAATTTCTTTTTAAGAATAATTGCATTTTTAGCCAAATTTAATTATTTTCATAAATAAAATAAAATTTTCACAAGAATTCAATTATTTACAAATTTTTTAAAAAAATTTCTTCGCAAAAACTCAATTATTTTTATAAATAATAGTATTCATTACAAGAATTCAATTATTTTCAAAATAATTGAAAAATAAAATAATAAAATTTAAGATTTTCAAAGATTTTAATTTAAAACCTTTAGAAAATTCAATTATTTTAAAAAATTGCAATTATTAGTAAAATTATATTAGAAATAATTGAAATTAATTAAAACGCGATGCGTTTTAATATTTATAAAAATAATTCAATTCTTGCGACGATTATTATTAATATTTCAAAAAATAATTGCATTCTTGAGAAAAATTTCAAAAACAACTTTTTAAAGAAATGATTTTTTTCGACAAATTTTATGAAAACTGTGTTTTAAATAATTGAATTTCTTTGAAAATTGTATATTATTTATGAAAAAATTGAATTCTTTCAACGATTATTATTAATATTTAAAAAAATAATTGAATTCCTGATAAGAATTTTATTATTTATAAAAATAATTATATTCTTGCGAAGAATTTTATAAAAAATCTATTTAAATAATTGATTTTTTTGAAAAATATTAGGAAAATTCTCTTTTAAATAACTGAATTCCTGTGAACATTTTTTTTTTATTTATGAAAATAATGGAATATTTGCGAAGAATTTTATAAACATTTTTTTTTTAATTTAAATTATTCAATTCTTTTGGGAAATTTTTTATTAAAATAGTAGATATTAAAAATAATTGAATTACGAAAAATTTGTGACATTAATTGAATAATTTTAATTTTAAAGAATTTTATTAAAATTAAAAATTTCCTATATCAGAAAATACTTTTTTTTTGTCGATTACCAAAAAAAAAAAAAATGATACCTATAATTTTTTTCTCTGGAAAAAATAAACAAATATTGCAGTACATATATTGTATACATGTGGTAACATTTATAATGTTTACAGTGTTTATATGCTTTTTGAAAAAAAAAAAAAATTTCCCTCACATATCATCGACCTTCTCTCATGGTTCGCAGTCTTTCTATGCTAGAGTGCGACCTCGATACAACGATTCAATGCCGAGGTCAAGGGAGTTCAACGTTTAAAAATAATTTCATCGTTCCCACAATTTAATGCTTTCATTTAAAGCTCCGTCATTCATCCGGATATGCACACGCGAGAGTTGTTAAGAAAAACATTTCTTTAAGAATAACATTTTTTTTTCATACACTATGTATATAAAATTCACAGAGCGAGGACGTTACACGTCCCAACTTCTCCAAATCTTATGCTTTTTTTCCTCAAAAAAAATATATTTCAAATATTTTCAAATAACAAATTAAAATTAAGTTTTCAATTATTAAATTTAAATTTTCTCGAAACAATATTTTATAATACTTTATAATACACTGAAAAAAAAAAATAAATAGAAAAATAAAAAATAGAAAAAGGAAAATAAAATTTTGAATTGAAAATAAATTTTTAAATCGAAAAAAAAATCTTGTACTTTAAAATAATTGGAAATATAAACTCTGATTTAATATTCAACTTTTTTTATAGAGAGAAGAGAGAAGGGTTTTTATGTAATAATTTTTAAGACACTTGTTATAATGTACTTTAATGTCGACTATTAATTAAAGGTAATGTGAGATAATTCTCTAAGTAGAAGATGCAGCATAAAAGATTACATGCTCATTAGCTAATAGTGAATAAACATTGGAGCTAAACATTTCATCCTTTCACCAAGGTCATTATTTTTTCTCTCTCGTTGAAAAAAAAATAAAAATAAAAAGTTCACAGTGTGAAGTCCTTAATTGCATTTCACACACTACTGTTACGCTTATATCATTGTAATTTAAATTAATTACAAAAAAAATGATTTTTTAAAAGGAAAATTATTCTTAGCCTGTGTCTTTGTTATTGTTGTTGTTATTTTTTTCTCTAATTTCTTCGATAATCAAATTTTCTCCACTGAAATACACACTCGCAATTATTTCTAATTTTTATATTTAATATTTTGATTATTTCATTGTTTTTTTTCCATTATTTATTGTTTTACTAAATTTTCCTACCTACACCCGAAGAAAAATTTTATTTAAACCAAATAAATTTTTATTTGAACCAAATAAATTTTTATCTGAACCAAATAAATTTTTATTTAAACCAAATAAAATTTATTTGAACCAAATAGATTTTTATTTAAACCAAATAAAATTTATTTGAAACAAATAAAAATGTCTACTTGGCTCTGAGTCAATTAGGTATATATCTTTTTCTGGATGTATTTATTTTAATTTGAAAACTAATTATAATTTATTTGCGTTAAATAAAAGTATATTTAATAATTATTAAATTAATTATTAATTAATTGTTATATAATTGTTAATTAATTTCTAATTATTAAATCGCAATTATTCCACATTAATTGTGAGTTAATTAAACTAAAAAAATTCTTTTTGTACACAGATTAAAAATAAAATTTATTTAAAATTTTTAAATTTAAATTTAAAATTTATTTAAATTTTTTAAGTAAAAATAATTAAATTGTAAAAATTTTGTCTTGTTCACCCTAAAAGAAACAAAAAACGTGGCAGTAAAAACAAATTTTTTTTCAATTCAAAATTCGATTAATTTTCCAATTTAAATATAAATGATTCTAAAGAGAAAAATAAATTCTACATATAAGAACTTAAAAAAAAAAAAAAATCGAAACCAATAATTAATTGGCGATGTTAAGTAGACATTGAGATAATAATCATAAATTCCAACAATATAATACAGTATATATACAATGTATTTACGATTATTTGCTTCTTAAAAACTTCATAATTCTCTTATTGCACATTGCCAAGATATATAAAGGTAATAAATTCTGGTGCAGATTAAAGGGTATAGATATTGGAAAATTGCTCACGGGAATTTAAAAAGGGAAATTACAATGTAGAATAGAGATAATTTTTCTCTTTCCTTTTTGCTTAAATAGAAAAAATTTCCTACATTTTGAATTTAAAAACGACAAACAAGAAAAATGCAACGATTTTTGATATTTTTATTTTGTAATAAAAAAAGTATTTTCAGGATTGCAAACTGAGAATATAAATAAGTAAATAAATAAAAAAAAATAATAGATAAATAGTACATAAAATAATAAAAAAAATAATAAATAAATTTATTTATTTATTTCAATAAACAAATAAAAAAATAAATAAAAATAAAAAAAGTATGCTGAAATAAATAAATAAAATAATAGAATATATTATTGTTCAAATAATTTTACGTATTAATTTTATTTAAATAATTTTATTTTATATATTAATATATATAATAATAGAATAAAAAAATCTAAATATAAATAAATGTGTGTGAATAAAAATCATTGTACAGTTTGATAATCTGTTGTGACGGTGCAATTCGTAACGAATTGTGAAAGAAGAATGTAAAATTTTTACCCACTTGTCTTGTGAAAATGATTCTCATGATTCATGGTTGAATTTCATGGGTAGATATTGTACCGTGATAAAACAATTATGCTTTCCTCTTTCAACTCAATGAACGTCAATCGCACAAAAAATTTTTAAAAAAAACAAAGAAAAAATTATTTACCCCCCAAAAAAAATCACGATAAAAAAATTAACTAATTAACTATTTTTTTAATCGAAAAAATTTCTCTTGCGCAATTTTCTCTATATCGCACACACACATACAGAGAGCGAATTTCTATACAAACTTTTAATTACTAGGTATTTTTAATTAATAACTTTATGATTATCAACTTTTAATTTTTTTTTCAAACTAAAATTCTTTTATAAAAAGAAATAGTGGTTTGAAACATTTTTTTTTTAAATTTTTATAATTTTTTTT